CATGCACCTATAGGCAGCTCTTACATGCATTCAACGAATAGATGCAGCTCTGAATTCTCATTTATCTCTACGTATTGATGGAATACTAATTTTCTCAAGATATTTAATTTCACTTTGCCACTTCTGAAAAGTTTTCTGAATGTTATCTGGCAAGGGGTCATCTCCATTTTAATTTCATAGTTCCAAGCCTTCCTGTAATAGTAACTTAGGTAATAAGGTAGTTGGACTCAAAAAAACCCTGCAGATCAAAAATTTTATGTACCATAGCCAAAATATTACGTTTACTTATCTTCAGCTTGCAAATCAGACAGGTAATAATTATAATTGAATAATTAAGATTACATTTTAATGTATTGTTATCCAAATCCCATAAGATTCCAAGAAGAGAAGTTACACCTGAATTACGGGAAATGCAATGACCTGGAACATTACTTTTCCAACCCTGTAGGTTAAAACATCTTCTAGCCATTACTTCTGTCTCCTTAACTATAAAATTTTCTTGCTTTTTGATATGACAATTGTGAACCACAGTGACACAATTGTCAACATAAAACGAATGCTTTAATTTTTGGGTCACATTGTCAAACTCAGCAGGGGAATTCTCCATCAATGTTGAAAGTTGGAACGGAGAAGAACAAATGCTAAACACCATTCTGCAGTGGAGTTGGAAGAAAAAAAACCTCAAATAATCTCTTTGTTCTGGGATAATACTCAGCTGAAGAAACGCTTTCTCAGTGTCCAATGATAAACCAATGGAATACAATCTAAACCTGTCAATCATATCAGGTATGAGTTTAATTAAGTTCGGCTCTCTATTTAAACAATCATTTAGGGATGGTTGATTTGTCTCTTGGGCTGAAGCGTCGAACACCGGCCTTACCTTCATTGTCTGCCTAGTATGCTTTATAACATGTCTATGGAGCAAATAATAAATCAAATTAATTTAAATAAAAAATAATTTCAGTTTCAAGAACCATTTCTATTACTTTTAGGTCTTACCATTGCTTAACTATTTTATAGTCATCTAACAGATTTTCCTCATTAATTCATTGACACATTCTTTGATGCCTTTTAAAAGTCATAGACTTATTATTAGGTAGCAGAATTTCAGATTTATAGAACAGTGGCAATTCATATTGGCCATTAGGAAGAAGATTTTAAATTACTTAACGGTGTCAGAGTGAGCAAGTTTACGTTTAAGATCTTCAGTTGGGTCTGTTATGCCAATGCCATCTACAGGGTGTTTGGGATAAATTTGACATATTTATAATTGATTATATTTTTCCATAGGTTGGAGGTATTGACACACTACTCATCATTTAAAAGTTTGGACTCGTCTTCATTCATATACAAGATGTCAGAAAGGATGGATGACTGGAACCCACCTGAATCATGGAAGAGCATAACTTGCATCATGATGATTCGTGCCGGCCATCAAAGTAGGGATATTATGACTGCTGCCCAATGCTTAGTGAACACAGTAAAAACAATCAGGCATGAACAAGAGACTTGAAATGGTGACTACAAGGATGTAACAAGAAGAAAGATCCCTAGCAGACGATCTGATTGCTTTCTTACAGCAGAATTCCTCGCAAATCTGCAGGAACAGGTGTTGAAGAACCCTGGCATTGGAATTCGGAATTCCCAGGAAGACTGTAGCATCAGCTTGTTAGAGGTTTTGAAGCAGGATTGAAGCTGTGATCGATCTAATAGTGGTTATTTTGAGTGAATCTTGTTGATAGTATTGTAATTACTCTGCCTGTGTTCAGTTACTGTCTACAGATTAGTTCGGTTACGCTAAGATTAGCAAATGCACGAAACTACATTATTGTACAAACTTTTTTCTAGTAATGCTGGAATAGTAGAAGTAGGTTCTTCAGATAAGCTGTTTACTTTACCAATCACAGTGTATCCGAATTCAGTCGCCACTACAGACACACCCGAGTTCAGTTTCAGAGAGCTGCCAGCAATAATGTCCCCGATGGCATCTGCTCCTAAAAGTAATTCAATGTTATATTCCTTAGCTTGCAAATCAGACAAGGTGATATTTCTACCTTTTAATTTAGGGTATTGTGATCAACTATTTTTGGAACAGATTCGCATATTTTTTGTTATGAGTAAGTACTTCAAAGTTATGTTCATACGTTCCCTCAAAATTTCTTAAATTAACATCAAACACTAAATGGCAATTAGGACTTGTCTCTCTCTCCCCAAACAAACCATGTAGAATGGTTTGTTTCGATTTGGGACGCAGTTGCAAAAACGTGATGACCCTTTCTGAAAGATAAGATTTATGTGAACTACTGTCGAAAATCGTACGAACTGTAAGTTGTGTACCTTCGAAAACTATTTTTAAATCAAATGTTTGCAAATACACATTTTATTAACAGTTGGCTGATTAGACAATGCATTACTTGAAAAAACAGTACTTTCAGTTTCATTTCGCTTTACAGTTTCGCTATTAGAGCACATAATTGGTATAGTGAAATTTATACACATGTTAAACATTTTACTTTTTTTTGAAGGCCTGTGAGCTATGTCCAACTCGTAGGCGGCGAAAAACAGGGCACTTTTGCAACACCAAAGCTTTCGCTTTAGTTTATCTTCTAAACACATTTTGCGAGCAGAAAAACATTCGGCAGAATTGTGGGATTTCTAACAAAAAATACAACGTAAATTTCGCCTACCTGTATTGTCTTGAAAATTTACCAAGGCAGCTGTAGAGCAACCCGCATCATCAGAATACGGACGCACATTCGCAGAACGTGAAGCTCCCAACCCGGTACGAGTGAGCTTAATAATTTCCTCACTTTTCACTTCGTTTTGAAGAAAGCACAAAAGTTTATCCAAAGAATGTGCGCTATCTTGCTGTGACGTAGTATCTTTCATTGAACGGCTTCTTTCCCATGCACGAAGAAAAGTCTCTGGTAGACAGGACTCAGCAAGTGGCTCCAAAAATTCAGCAAATTTTTCCTTAGTCTAACCGAGGCTTTCAAGTGCTCTCAAGTAAATCATAAAGTTCAGCTAAATCTCATTTAATCCGACCAGCAGCATTTTTCGTTACTATGGAAAAGTGGATCCCGTACATAAATCTGAACCAAAAGTTAATCTCTCTCTAAGCCATCTTTAAGTTGTGCAATTATCTTTGAATAGTTTTCATTAGTTGGCGGAAAACTTGTCACCAATCTTGCCGTTTTAGAATCTACTACCACACATTGTAACAGATATTGAGATTGGTCTTAATCCACAATAGCATCATCTTTGTGAATTTTTTCAAATTGGGACCAAAAGGCAACAAAGTCTTGGTTCTCCACTAAATTTCCTCAATTCAAGTTTCAGAAGCTTGAATTTCCTTTTTTGCTCAGTTTTTGTTCCTTCCATAAGCGAATTTGCCTTCTTTGCATTTTCTAACAGCAAACAAATTAAGCAGAACTTGTCTCATTATTCTTCTGCTTTAAAAAAAACCTCAGAATATATGTCTTGAAGGGAATCATCACTTGGCTACAAATTCGAAACTTCTTCTTGAGTTGTTTCTAAATGTGTGAATTTATCCTGAATCTGTTTGAACAACATAGTGACTCCGTCATTTTCTAAACTTTTGTTTTCGATCTCCTGAGCTATATCGTTGCAACATACTGTAAACTCTGTTCTCAGCAACTTTCATTTTGCTTTCAAAACTTTGATATCCATATTTCATCAAAAATATATAATAGTGGACGCCAGATGTACTATGTTGCAACTCTCAGGGCTACGATGTGCAGGTTACAAATTAAATAATCACAGCAGGGATTATTAATTTAAATGGATATCTCACACAATATTAATATAATATTTAATATGGATATCTCACACAAGCGGAAAACGTTACGTTACTCTAACTAGTACATACATATAACTGAGTGAAAAGGGAATTCCCCACTTAGTTCGCAGTTAAAGAAAAAATGAAAATAATAAAAAATAGTCCAATCAAAAGTGGTGCTCCTTCTGTCGACTTCACCCAGCCGTTACATAATCGTCTGTCTGAAGCAGCCGTCTCCAACAGGTGTGGACTTCACTGGACCTTTTATGATCAGACACCGAACTGGATGTGGTCAAAGGTCTTTCATGAATACACTCCACTTGAAATTTTTTTTTATTTACATACATTCTATATTGTTTAGTGTTGCTATACAATATACTTGTAGATTGAAAAAATGATGGTGATTTTCAAATTGAAATTGATGTTGTGTAGCAGTAATTTATTTTGTATTAATTAGCCATATAAGCAGTTATACTTGTTTGTAAGACAGGTAATAATTTAAATGAGAATCTGCATCCAAATAAAAGAATTGCATTTGAGTACTTCAGTGATAGAAAAAATGTTTTATTTTGTAATATATGCAGAATAATGTTTTAATTCTCTAACTATTTTAAAATAAAATAAAATAAATACACATTTTGATATGTGATCGAAACTGAATTACAATTTCTTCCTTGTTTAATACATAGACGAATTAAATAAGTCATTTTGTTAAATCGCTTGAATAAGGAAAAAATTAGGAGAATTTTGCAGTCAGATTTTGTTTACAAATTTAATGAATTTTGATGCCAAATTTAATGAAGTATTAATGATTAAAATACTTTAGAAGTTTAATTTATGAAAAGATTTTGCAATATTTATTTTTATTAAGAATAATATTTTATGAAATAAAATTACATATTCTTAATTACATTTAATTCATTAAATGTGTTTATTCTTTTTTATGATTTGCATAGGAATCCTATATCAGTTTCTTTTAATTATTTTAGAAATGCCTTTGAAAGAAATATTCAGTTGTTTATATTCAGTAGCATATAATCAAAATATGTCCCATTCTATATTCAGTTTATGCATTTAAATACTCAATGATAATTAAAAATGTGTGTACATTTTATTGATAAGAAGAAAAATATTATAAATTTTATGATTTTAGTTTCATATTCAATATTATATTTTATTCAATGCTATATTTTATTTTTAGTATCATAAGCAACTACACTTGCCAGCCTTTTATAGGAAACTGTGATGCAGATTTAGAGCAAGTATTTCCCAAACTGTGCAAAAGCTGCATATTTATATTTGCAGTAATACATTTACTGAAAGAGGTATTTAATTGCAATTAGCATGCATTCTCTAGTTTGAATTATGCTGTTTTTGTAGCATTTATTTCAGTCAAAGTTTCATGTGCTCTTCTTTCAAATATATAATTTGGTAAATCGATCCTTAAATTTATTATTAAACTGTTTTTTAATTTTATATTAGAATTCTTGTTATTGCAGTCCTCCTACAGTGATATTTTAAAGTATGGTAGTTTATAATAAGAATAAATATTTCTGTGTTCGTGCATGCACATGTGTGTGTATGTTGATACATAATGATAGTTGTAGCCAGTAATGTAATTTTATGCATTTTGTGAATTAATAACTATACAGTTAAACATATTTATTCAATGTTTATCATTTGTTAGAAAATTCGGAAATATAAAATCAAAACTATAAGAAAACTCTTGATATTATGTGGCAGGGACTCATTAATATGATTCAGACAAGTCATTAGTTAATATTTTTTTTTTTCCATTCAGCAATTTGTTATGTGTTGGTCAGTCAATAGTAACTCATAATTAGTATTTGTGTTTAATTTGTGTGTGGTTTTATTTGTGTATAGAGAAATCATATTTCCACTAATGTTTTTAGCCTTTGTAGCAGAAGTACATTTCTGAAGTTCTTACGATAGAAGAAGTATTTTTACGCAAACTTAAAAATTAGAGAAAAATTTCAAAATTTTAAAATTTGCTACTGTGTAATTTTCTGAGCAAAATGGAAGCATCTCCACTTTCTACAAGGTATTAAAATTACCAGGGTAAAAAATTAGTGTCTAGGATTTAATGTTATTATTTCTTAAATAGCATTGATTATATATAAAATTAAAATAATTTTCAAGAAATAATTCAATAATACATTAGATGGAGGCTACCTTTAAAATGTATTAATGATATTAGTAATATTCTGATAGCAATATTATTATTCTGTATGGATTTATTCTAAGTGTTAAAAATATACTTCAGGAGCTCAAAGTGAAGTATAATTATGTAATTCTTCTTTTCTGGTAAAAGTAATTATTGTTTATCTTTCTGTCTAACTATTTGTTAAATCATGTGGTAAATTTTAAAATTTTCTTTTAAGTTATGAATGCATTTTAATAATCATTTCATAAATTTTTTTTGAAGGTGTGAATCTTAAACTTTCACATAAAAATTCAGCATTTTTATCCTTAACAGTTCATTTCATTTATATTTTTTTAATTTTATTTCATTCCAAACAAGAACACTTTCCCTTTCATTTCTTTTTATAAACATTCATCGATATTTTTCTATAGTAAAAAATATTTTCCAAAAAACTCGTATATAATAGTTAATTTGCAAAATATTATCTCTCAGCAATTTCACTGATATACAGTACAAAGTCCGAGATCAGGAATGATCTTAAGATCCAGACCGAATACCACCTACAACCTCTTTTTTTTATATATATGTATGCGTTATGCATGTGCATCTGATATTTCCCCTCTTCATAATACTATATGTGGAGAGCCACGATTCTTAATTTCACTTCAGCTCTAAATAAAATATGTTATTGAAGTAACAATAATTTTAGCATATATTTGGGTGATCTGTAATTTGGCTTTGTAGCTGCATATCTGTTTGGCGTACATCTCAAACCAAAACATTCAAACATCATTGATTTTACTCCTACTAATATTTTATATCCTTGACACAACCTGGGAAATAATTTTTATATTTTGCTTTCATCACCATATGTTTATCAACACATGACTCTTTGAGTAATAACTCATGCAGCGATGCTCAAACATTTTTTTTTTTTTTTTTTTTTTTAGTAGTAGTTTAGTAATTGAATAACAAAGAGTATGGTAGCCTTTTATGTCGACATTACGTTTGGCAATGATTACAGATTTAAGTTAAATGGGCTAAGAAATGTTGATGAGGAAAATTTTAACAAAAATTTCTTTCCATATGCTAAAAATAGGCTTATTAATGATACTCATAGGCCAAAAGATTACATTTAGTGCTGTTTCAATTAAGAGTAAATGATTTGTTATTCACATAAAACTGGCACCAGGACTCGTATGGTTGCATCGGGTGGCAGAATTTAGGGAAGACAAAATTTTGGAAATTTGGAGAAGCACCAATCAAGCAGTATGATCCAAAATTTAGAACTTAGGGAGGTGTTTGGTAGCAGAATTTAGGACCCGCTGAGACTGCACCAGGAGGTAAGATATCTAGCGCTGACCCTCGGTAAGCCTTAAGTATATGTAGGAATTTATTTATTCAGGATTCAGATAAGCCTTAAGAATGTACAATAACTAGACGTAAGTATAATAAATAACTAAACTAATACAATTCAGGCTTAATTATCTCAGTGTTGTTACAGAAGGAAGACAAAATTTAGTGGAACAGCTTGTCTTTCATCGCCAATCTCATGATACATAACCAATAATGTATAGCGGACCCTATTAAAGCTAAACTAAAATTATACGTTACCGATATTCCAAGGAATTTCATTTAATATAGCAGGTTGTGCTGTTCCTTAATTTTCTGATTTGATCCAGCTTATTATTATAGCAATTTTATGAAAATTAAAGTTTTAACTTTCAATTATGTCAAAAGAGTATAAGGATCTACAAAGAACTTAAAGAGTATAGGATCTACAACATGAAAGCATCTTTCGATGTCAATTAAACAAAAAATGGAATTGCTTCAAAAAATGGATAACATTATATCAGTCTCAAAATTATGCAAGGATTATGGCATTGGAAAGTAAACTCTATATGACATAAGAAAACAGGAAAGGGAACTTTTGAAGATTTTGTGAATTCCGACACCCCATTTGCAATGAATAATGGAAAAATTATTATGCTAAAAGTGACGATTATGGCAAAATGATGATTGAATGGGTCAGACAGTGTCGCAGTGAGGGCGTGCCATTGGCAAGTCCAATGCTAATGGCCTAAGCCAAAATATTTCATGAAGAAATTAAAAAATAAGTACACATATTCGACAGGTTGGTTAACCAAATGTAAAAATCGCCATGGTATAAGGTGATTAAAAATTTGAGGAGAAAAAGCTTCATCTGCTGAACTAGTTGCAGATGAATTCATTGAACGTGTTAATAGTTTTCTGGCAATATGTACTGCGAAATAGGTTGGCAACCTCTATAGAAACGTCTCCAACTGGTGTCAAAGATTCCAAAGCGAGACTAACAATTTTAGCATGCGCAAATGCTGCTGGAACGCACAAGTATAAACTATTCGTAATCTGAAAAAATATGCGACCTTGAGCATTTAAAGGAGTAAACATGTTTCTCGTCATACTTCATTTAAAGTTTTAGTGAAAGATAATGCTTCCATATCATTCTTTTTGCCAAACTGTCTGCTTATCATTCAGACAGGGATATCGGAATAGTGTGCATGCCGAAATGCAAATATAAAGTAGCATTTTTAAAATCAGTGTTAAATTTCTTGAATAATGGCAAGATTATTCAAGAATTTTTGAAATATTTTAGCATAAAATCTGCTGTGTAGACCATCACGAGATCCTATGAGGATGTATCTCCAGATACTTTAAAATTGCTTGGCATATTTTAAGGCCAGCCACTATATTTCATGGTGAACATGATAAAGATAATAGCCATGAATTTAAAGGTTTTTATAAAGTTGATATAACAGAAGTTTTCATTGTTATGACAATGCCTCAATCAATAATCAATTAACCCATAGCGAAATCTGTAGTATGGTTCTAGATCCAGAAAATACCGCTACCGATAGTGAAGAAAGTAATAGAGAAATTATTGAAAACCAAAAATTTCAATTTACGAGTTAGTCGGAATTCTCGGCACAGCTTTTTTTTTAGTAAGTTTTGATACCCTTTAGGTCATACATGTTTCAATATTTTGTAAATCACGATTTCATATTTTTAATTTTATAATTTCTACATGCCATCTTGCTAGATTTAAACTGATGATCTAATATCCAGAAAAATCTCAAATACGGAATCATTGAAGTCCCGACAAGTCTGGATCTTGGATTTTGTACTGTATTTAATTTGCGATTTTTTATTTTATTTATATATTTTTTTTTAAAAATTTTTTTTTATTTTTTTTTTTTTTATTTTTACCGTGTGAGTACTGTATTAAAAATTAAATGAGTTTCTATTTAAAGTTTATTTGCTTTATAACAAAATGAAAATTTCATATGATGCTGTGTATTGCAGGATAATAAAGCACTTTTTTTTTTATTTATTTAGATATACCAGATACAGCAGAATGGGAGAAAATACTTAAATCTTGAAAATATTATGGAATGGACTTGTTACTTGAGTGCTTTACTTTTCATTGCTGATTTAAACAAGTGCTCTTCAGAAACTGGTATTCGTCAAGTATGTTAAAATTTTTCATAATTTAAAGAAGTCATTCAGGTTTTTTTTTTTTTTTTTTTTTTTTTTTTTTTTTTTTTTTTCTGTGATAAGTAAATTAAAATAGCTATGACCAGCATTATCTCAACCAGCATGCAGTTGTAAATTACATGCCAAAAATACATGCAATATATGAATGGTCCTTCATATAAAACATTTCAAATCTGAACACTGAAATGTCATAAGTGTCCAGGGGAAAAAAGTAGGTGTTTATATATATTTTTACTTTACATGTAAGTTATACATAAAATTTATATTCATGTAAACGATTGCGCTTTATTCGTAGTTTTTACATATAGTATATTTCAAGGGTTTAGAGGCAAATACATATATAGTATTTCAAGTGTTCAAGGGAAAATTTTCTTATTAAGTCTATGACTACGTTTATATGCATATTTTTCATGAATTCATCATATAATTTCACAAGTATACATGCTTTTATTTAATACCCTATTTCTATCTAACCTAGTTAAACTTTACAGTATTTAAAACATGCCATCTACACATTTTTTCCATGTATATGCTGAAATTTTTCACAATTTATTAAATGTGATAAGCTAGCATAAGAAACCAGATAGTTATTCATTGAGTAAATCAGTTTTCTAAAAATGGATGAGTTTAATATTGTAGAATTTTATATTAAAGCAATTACTGAGAGGGAAAATAGAAATAATTATAAAGTCACTGGAAAATATAAATTTTTATTTAAAAATTTCATGTTTAGTATTATGCATTAAATGATCAAATAATAAGTAAATTTCAAAAATAAATAATTTTCATGTGTTTTATGCTTAGGAAAAAAAAAAAAAAAAAGATCAAGAGACACCTACCTTTTTGTTTCAGATTACAACTTCTATGTAATTCATGTTCATAAAAATATACCTGTAGTTTTCTTCATAGATACTATAGTTCAGTCTCTATGAAATTTCCTCTTTATTAATGACCTTTTTATTTCCACTAATTAATTTATTCATTTATTGTTAATTTAATGTTTCACAGCTAATGGTGTTTTCAAGATATTGTGAAACTTACCAGATTTTTTTTTCCAAATCATTTTAAAAGTATTTTTGTTGAGCTAATACTTTAACACTGTAAATGTTTTTTCCATTGAAAAAATAATTTGCACAGATTCATATAGTTATGTATGGCAGTCTCCAAAAATTCTGGTTTGATGTCTCTCATGTAAATTGAAAGCAAAGTCAAATCAATAAATAAAGGATATGTAAATTAGAGCTAGCAACTGCTGAAAAAAAGCTCTTTATATCAGAGTGAGAATTATTTTAATTAAATGGAAGAAAGACATATACTAAATTAGCAGTATGACCAATAGCACATTTTGCTTTGAAAAGATCTAGAATGAAATATGATAGCAGAGTGTAACACCTTCATTTACTAAAGTAATATAAGGGTAAAAAACTAAGTAAAAATCAAAGGACGTTTAAAAATGCTGTAGTTAAAAACATCTTAACTATAATTTATTTTCAGTTTCAAGTTAAATTTGCTTAAGGAAATTTAGTCTTGTTTTGTTAAGAATATTTAGACTGAAATGTAATAAAATTTTACACCTAAAATCTGCCAGAACAGCTTGCTTTAAAATTTAACGTGTGAGATTAAACAGTGCAGTTTCAAGTAGTCTAATACTATTTGAATTAGTACAAATTGATACTTGAGTTTGTGATGATAACTAAAACTTTTTGGCTTTTTATTTAAAATAAAAGTTAAAAATAATTTAAATTACTAGACTGGTGATGTTTTATGCTTAACATGACCTTTTGTTTAATTTTCGTCAGTACTAAAAAAACATATTTAATGCATTAAATTAAGTTTTATGAATTAAATTATCAGTCATATATAGTATGGCTATTTAACACATTTCAATAAACTTGAAACCACTGCACAAATAAAAACATTATGAGTAAATTCCTCTAGAATCAGAATACAAATCTTTAATTATGATAACAATGGCATCTCAGTTTGGTTAATAATGGCATTTCAGTGCTTTCACTATGTAAATTTCCTCTTCTGGCAAAATAGAAACTGTCATTTCATTTGCAGGAAATATTTGTTGCAAACTTTATTTGATAATAATCCAATGAAAAAATTCAATTGTGTCTTGAATATTTTCTTTCTTAAATAAATGAAAAAATTTCATGTAATATTAATTCATGACCCACATGAGGCTTCTTCCTCTCCTGTTTGGCATAAATTATTCAAAATTTATTATTTTGAATAATAAATTTATAAAATAAATATATATTTTGAATATTATATAAAAATATTAAAATTATATAAAAATTTTGAATTTTATATAAAATAAAAAATTATTTTGAATAATTTTGGCATAAATTATTCAAAATTATTTCAAAAAGCCACAAATAATTCACAGATTCATGAGTTAAGTACCAAAAATGTAATTCTACGTAACTGTTAATGTATGCATTTGTGTACATATTCTTAAAATGAATTAGATGCACAATAATTTGAGTAAAACAGTGTCAGTAAAATTATACATTTTAGTAGCTAAGAGCAATTACCAAATTTTAGCTTAACATATATCAATTTTAATAGATTCTTAATTAGAAGGATGATTAAATTAAGGCCAAATATGAAAGAAATCTACCAAAGAAGGAATAGTTTTATGAAGGATAAATTTAAGAAAAGCTAATCATGTTTACATTACATACTGCAGAAACTGAGAAAAACTCCTTACTGCTAGCCTATTTATGAGGTATAGAAGTTAGGCCAAAGTAGCAGTTCTGGGGGCTTTAACCATTTGGGTGCGAAGGAGCTTTTTAATAACATAACATAAGATAACATTTGGTAGTTTTTGCATTCTAATACTAATATTAAAAACAGACTTATACAAATATTAAAAAGACTTAAATAACATTAAATACCATTATTTACTTGTATATTTCCCCTTTTCATGTACTTTCCTCCTTAATTTTTTCAGCATATGATTTAGAAACTCATTTAGGGTAGCAATGTATGCCATATACTGAGTAATAAACTTTTACCTACATATATAGCAAATAATAATACTTTTTACCTACATAAATAGCAAAGTATTTGTGTAGGTAAAAAGAATATTTTTGAAACTAAGTTCTTTGAAATACAGAATACATATTAGTGAAAAGGGAGGAATGGAATGATTAAGTAAGTATGACAAATCAGATTACAGTAATAGATAATACTAATAATTTAAACAAATAACATATAGAACTGAAAAAACAAATTTTATGTGAAATTATTTTTTAACTCGTGGAAGGACTGAGAGTATTTCCAACTAATTAAATTCAAATAAACTCTACCTTTGTCATTTTTAACTAATATTTTTCATTTTTCCTACAATTTCCATAAATATACTATTTTAGAACCACAAAATACATCTGTAACAGGATATAAAGGATAATTGAGTTATAGAACAGAAAATTATCTTACAATGTACCCAGTGCAACTTTGTGGCAGTACTTAATAACATAGTCCAAATATTCTTTGCTCGTTCTCTAGAAAAATTTTGAAGTTATTACTTAAACAAAATAATCATATTTGATATAGCAAAACATCATTAACTCAGTTCTTAACTTTCAAATTAGAGTTGAATGCAAATCTAGTTTTACTCCATTCTTGAACTCTAGTTTATTATTTTCAATTTAGTTTTAAAATAATAAATAAATAAATAATAACTTTTAGCTACATTTGAAAAAAAATTTTCCTTTATAAAAAATAATCATGGAGAATATTTTTAGAAAATAAATGGTACTTTAAGCATAAATTTTCCACAAATATATTTAGTACAAATAGTTCATTCTAGTTCTGTTGTAATACATGAAATTTATAGGATTTACATGAATCGGAGGTTTACTAGGGTATTCTTCGATGTAGAGAATTTCATGTTCAATATCTCAAAATTCAATTTCATTATTTTTCTCAAAGTCTGCAATCATAGTTTCATTTTCTCCTGAAACTACTATATCAAGACAGTCTCGTTGATATTGTGCCCTTTCAAAAACTTATACAGTCAAAAGTCGTTAATCCGAACTCGTCGGGACTTCGACGATTCCAGATTATCGATTTTTCCTGATTATAGATCATCAGTTTAAATCTGGTAAGATGGCATGCAGAAATTATAAAATTAAAAATATGAAACCGTAATTTATGAAATAAAGAGCAATTATGATCTAAATCTAAAAGGTATCAAAATTTACAAAAAAAAAAAAAAAAAAAAAAAAAAAAAAAAAAAAAAAGAGCTTAATATTTATTTGTTTACTTTATTAAACATTTCTTTCAATGTAAATTGTTTAAGTTGCTTCGTTTTATGTGATAATACTTTCTCTTTAATTCTATAAACAGACATAGTTTCTTGTTCAGTTACAAAGTTCCACTGTTCAAGTCCTATAATTGCTCTGTAAAGAATACCGACTAATTTGTCAATCGAAATTTTTTCGTTTTCAATAACCTCTCTGTCACTTTCTTCACTATCAGAAGCGAATTATAATGACGAGGAATTTAATTTAAATCATATCAAAGACGGAGTACATTGAGATGAAATACTACATTTAGTAAGGAATTATAAGCCAAATAAAATAAAAACATCTGCCCTGAAGATAAGGATAGTGGTGACAGATCAACTTCCAATTCATTGCGCGCCGCGGTGTCCCCCCCACGCCGCAGAGCAGCGTGAAATTGATAAACAGATTTCATAATGGTAAGAGAAACAAAGGATATGCCTTTATCCATTTTTTGCAGCAATTCCAATTGTTTGACGGACATCGAAACATACTTTCACTTTGTAGATCCTTTGGGAGTTCCAGCATCGGAAATTCTATTTTACATAATCGAAAGTTCAAGCTTATTTTTATAAAATTGCACTAACAGTCTGCAAAAAATAGTAAGCAGATCTAATTCGAAGATTAAGGAACAACGCACTATGCAACATTAACTGAAATAGATAATTAGATAATTTTAGCTTATACCGTCCGTTATACATTAAATGCGCATGTGTAAACGTATTATGCATATGCGCAGCCGTAAAATTCTTACGCGTATGTGTAAACAAGACGCATGCGCAGAACGTTTGTAGCTTTGAGGTCCGGATTATGGGTGTCCGAATTAACGACTTTTGACTGTAATTTTTTACAACCTTTTCTTTCTATTCCATGGAAGACTAATGGCTGCATGATACATATGTTTTCTATATGCGAAAATTCAAATTAGCTTAGAAATTGCATTTATTCTTTAAAAAGTCTGATTTATGCAGATTAATAAAATTACTTTCCTTAGCTACCCAGATGATATAGTAGTCAGGGTACTCAACTGTGATACTGAAGGGCTCGAGTTCGAATCCCAGAGAAGGCATGAATGTAAATTGTCTGTCCTCTCATAGGAGGTAATGATGGCCACCTATTAGGTGCCTCCATAATGAAATTACCACCACTTCTGCCCTTAGTAGTGGTGAAAGCCAAAAGAAATGGCTAGTGCCTGTTTCCAAAAAAAAAAAAAAAAAAAAAAAAAAACCTTTGTGGGGAAGTAATATTGAGTGTAACAACATGATTTTACATATCAACAATATATACTGAGTGAAAATTCTTTAAATGTTTTATTTTTTGGAATCTCATGCTGCACTATTAATGTAGAGTTGATAAATCTCGGAGATTATGTTGAATAGTATAAAGAAGACTCCTTTTTTTAATACTTGGTGAAGTACTATGAAGAAAATTGTTTAGTTATATTATTTATATTTCACAATTAGTAGAAAATAAATCATTTTCTCTCTTATTGTAATTTATTTCTGCCACATTCACAAATAAAGTGTATTAATTGAAACAAATGTACACTGCACAAAAAAGGGGGTTCACTTTTATATCTCCTGTTCTACTGGTCTGATTGACGAAATTTGAATTGCATTTTTCATGTCTCGAAAGCATGAAGGACAGTTAGTGTATGCATTTTTCAGAACAGATATCTTAACAGTTAATTATGTTAATATTACTTTTCTTTTTTCCATTAAGCTATTTCCTGCTACTCTTTGCCTGCTTAATTACAGTATGTTTTAAGATAAATATTGAAGCATTTGAGTAAAAAACAATATAAGTATAAAAAAGTGAGAAAACACAAGTGTAAAACAGGAAGTTCTCAATTTATTGATTTGGTATTCTATGTCATTAACAATACCGAATGCTGATAATGAATCATTCAGCACATTCACAAAGAACAACAAAGCTAAACGTGATATGTCTCTATGTGCATGCATTAAGAATACCCTTAACTGTTTCAAGGAAAATACAAAGTATAATTATTTATTTATATTACTTACTTATTTTTTATTTGAATAAAATTATTAAAATCACTATATAATTTTTCCTGTATGTTAAACAAAATTGAAAAATTTTAGCATCATGTGGTTTTCAAAATAAAGTAATTGAAATTTATGTAAAGTATCAATATCAAGCTTCCAATTCCATATTATTAAAATATTATTATTAAAATATAAAATTATTATTAAAATATAAAAACAATTAGTAGATGACATTAACCCCCCTCTTTTTTTGCGTACTCTTTTTCTTGTTGTTGTTGTTTCGAAGGGAGAGAAAGTTGTAAAATTAAAATTTTTAAAAAATCAACAGTTACTCTGAATCACATATTTTTTTAAAGGTTTCTAGAATTCATACATTATTCATAAAAGTAATGAATGAAAAGTACTAAGATGTCAGTAGTATGTAGATCAGTATACTTCGTTTTGTATAATTTTTTGTAAAAATAATGTGTCTAAAATGTGATAAAGTGTCGATAATAAGTTCAGCTTTTTTTATTCATATAACTTTCATAAAAATAACGTGCAAAGAGTACTATACCCTTATTTCAACAAAATTTTATGTATATTTTTGGAGGAATGCTACTTGAGACACAGAAACGTGTATCTGCTTTTTTGTGTGTATTTCTGCTACATGTGTTTTTTTTATTGTTTCTTGATTATTTTCACTTTACTAAAAGAGACAACTAATAAACACGTATTAAAAATTGTTACACTAAGATGTGATTAGTGGTAAAATTCATATCATGAATTTTGATTATTTCTGTGCAACAAAAAAAATCGTAATTCAAAATTTAATCAATAAATTACATTGCACTGTTATCCTACTCTTTAGATGACATTTTATGAAAGAAAGCTTATTACAACATTCACTGATGCACTGAACATAGGACTATAGAAATGAATGTATAGTAGATAGGTTTTAACTGTGGATGTTGCCCATGTTCGAAGTCTGTTAACTCTGACATAATGCAATGACAACTTCACATAACAGTACTCCGACAACAACTGAACTGTTTAGCACATTTACGAAGTTGTATAGGTGGCGTCAGTAGTCAAAAATGCCCTCGCCACCTACATATTTCATTAAAATCAATCTTTCTTTTCAAACATGCATTTCATGAGTTGTTTCCATATTTTTGTCCATCCACTGTATAACCAATGTGAAATCAATAATTCTAAAAACTGGTTTTGTCATTTTGTCTGCATGTGGTTCAATTTATAAATGCAAACATATTCTTGCAAGGAAATCTGTAATAATGTTTTCATATATGAATTTTTTTTAAGAACAGGAGGCAGCTCAACTACCAAAAGTTCAGATGCTTGTATTCGTCTTAAGACGACTTAAGATGTATTTACCCAGTTGCTTGTATTTGTCTAAAATGACATCACAAGTCCAGCATCAGCTATATATATAGGTATATTTCTTGCATTCTAATAAAACAACGGTACCTATAGCCATCGAATTTTGAATGGCCTAATCCTCCTACGAATATTTATATGGGGTAGGCCAAATTTAGAATTTGTTTTATTATTGATATCATATTTGTAAAACTTTAACGAAGATTATAAGACTGACATATTTCTTACTGGACTACAGTGGCTTCACTCTTTATGAAAACAAACACTCACATACCTGTGCATTTATCATTTAAAACTGATGAACTTCGCTGAGCAAACTGGCCAGAGTGTAACAAGAAAGATGCAATTATTTTCTTTCCTGTACTTTAACTCCAGTGAACTTTTGTTGAAGTTCCTCATTTGGAAAGTTCCTTTTATTGGATTGTTGTTTTACCTGTGGCTCTGGGAGATAATCTTATTAGTAACAATATTCCTGTTTTGTATCTCTATCTTTGAATTTTTTTATTCATGAAATAGCAACAATGAACATGAGACTTTCTGTGTTTCTTCTAACAACTGATAAGGGATCCATGCAGCACAGTGCTTTCTGAGATGAAGCTTTTGGTAAAGAAATAATGAGTGTTTCCTGAATTTATACTTAGAATGCTATTATGTAATTTATTCCTCTTTTGTAAATAGAGCCAGAGTTTATATACATATATAAAGATGGAGAGAAAGAGATATATATAGAGGATTCCATAACCTTCCAATTATCTTGAATAGTTCTTCTAAGTGAGCAAAGACTTAACCATGTAAGTTAATGATCTGGGAAATGCAAAGTAGAATATCGAAAAACTCTTGTATCATACATGCAACATTTATATAAAAATGAAGTACTTTTAAATAATCAAATAAACAGACAAATAAAAATTAATAGAACTGAAGTATTTTGCTTTAAAAAGTAAAAACCAGAATCTGAAATTTGCTGTTAATTTCATAGCTACAGTTGTTTGACATTTATCTCATAGACCAGTGATTTGAGTTGTTACAGAAACCAAAAATCCAAGATGCAAATCTGGTTGTTTTTAGTTCCAAATGTTTCCCAAAAATTGCTGTAAGAAATTTAAATAATTAAAAAAAAAAAAAAAGCTCACCTTTAGATTAAGAATTCATCATGAAATAGATCAGAAAAGCACCCTGAAACCCAAAAAAAGGTTCATTTAGGTTCATCATTGATTAGGTTCATTTTCTGAAAGACAAATATTTTGGAGGAGGAGAAGGAAAAAGGGGGATACAGAGAAAACCAAAATACTTTAAAATTGTGGGAAATAATCATCTACAGGTTGTTGTGACTTGTAGAGAAATGATTTGGTGTGGATCTTATCCAGGTCTGTCTTGGTCAATAAATAAACTTTATTCAAATTTCTCATTGTCTTTTGTGCTGTATAATATAATTTATGAATCTTAAAAAGTATATTAATTGCTTGTATTTTGAAAATTTGAAAATTTGTATTATAAGAATTTGAAAATTTGTATTATAAGTTATCCGTATATATTCAAAAGACATTGAATTCTGAGTATTTTTATATAATGCTCTTATATATTTCAACTGCAAAGTAATAAAATTTTGAATCGCATCTCTTTCAAAGTATTTTGTAAATATGAATATATGGTTGAATGCATAATTTAGAGATTTAGGTTTGCTTTTTAATGCTTTAAAGTTGTATTTATAAAAAGCTTTTATGTTCTGACCATGGGCAGTTTTTGTATAGGTTATTTATGTATCTTTGTAGGTATGGCAGTGGGAATTAGGATCCTTTTCAATTTTCCTAGCTTGGATGGTTTTACTGATGTTTATCAGCAAATTTCCATTTCTTGGAATATATGTGATTATGTTCATTCAAATTCTAAGTACATTTGTGAACTTTTCTTTGGTGTTCTTCTTGTTCGTTGTGGCATTTGCATTAGCATTCTATTCTATATTGCAGAATCAGGTATGTGAATTTTATTTAAAATTATACAATTAAACTTAACATAGGAACAATTGCAAAAGATTTTTATGTAGAATAATTAACTCCGTGCATACACAGAGTTACACTTATTCTAAACAACAGAAATATGTTTACAGTAACTTAATGCATAGACAGATAAAGTTCATTACAAAAGTTAATGCAAAATTCAATTATTCTTCACATTTAAAATATTAAAGACATAGATACTATTATTTTTAATGTTACTAATAAGAGGTTATTTTATTAATTTTTTTTCTTTTGATATAAAGAAAATTCTTTTTTTTTCCCTCAAAAATCTTTATTTTGTATAATATTTGTGTCTTTCAAATACCTAAGAAATCTCATATTTCTTATAATTTCCCTGATTTTTTATTCCCCTTTTTGTTGGAATTTATTAAAAATATTTTGATGTGACACACTGTTATAGATTCTTATGTAATGTAGTCCAGAAATTCTGTATCAATAACTTGCTGTAGCAAATTTCTTTTATTTCAACCATTAAATAATATTGTCTTCAAAGGTATACAAGAATTCTTATATTTCTTATAATTTCTCTGATTTTTTATTTTAATATAAATATTTTGATATATTTCAAATATTTAGATCCGACACACTGTTTATAGATTCTTATGTAATGATATTCAGAAATTATGCACATTAACTTGTAGTGAATTTTGTTTATTTTGACTGTTAAGCAATATTATGTTCAAATGTATATACAGGTATAGTTAATATATTAGAAATGATTTCTTGGTGAATTAAAATTTCTTATAGAAATAAAAAAAATATTTATGGAACCAAAATTTAAATTGGCAAAAGCACAAATACCAACCTTTAAGTTATTTTTAATTTATTATTCTCTTACAAACTATTCTGATGCTCTTTTTTTCAGCTCTAAAAGTGGTTTATTTGATTCATTAAAATCAGCAACTAACACATAATTACTTCTCAAAGCCTAAGGCCAGAAAAGCCTCTTTGTAATACAAAACGTTGGAAGGCAAGCAAAAATGCATCTTCTATCATATTACTAATTAGTTCCAGATCACTAGTACACTTCTTGTAACAGCACCAGGCTATTCATAGAGTTTATTGTTTGTGTTTACTATCTTTCACAAATAACGGACCATCATAGTCGCCCCCAATAACTATAAATGGGGCTGATTGTTCCACTCAAAGAGCTGGTAATGGTGCAACCATCTGGTCTCCTGGAGAAATGCTGAATCTTTGGCAAATAACATATTTGCTTAGACGAGATTTTATAATTTGTCTGGCCTTTAATATCCAGTATTTTTCTCAGATATGCTGGAATGAAATACTTTATCATGGGACTCCCAAATCAGAAATTTAGATTTTGATGGTAGTATAATAGGATGTGTTTTATCCATAGATGAAGGAGTTTTCTCAAGCCTTCCTATCACTCGCAATACATATTCATAATCTAGAAATGTGTTTAAGCATAAGAACTTAAGAGTCTTTTGGTAAAGGCTTGCCACTCTTAAAATAAATAATTTCCTCAAAGAAAATGTCTCTTTGAACAGCTTTTAGCCAAAACTGTTCAGCATGATTATATTCTTCAGTGGTAAGAGGACTCATTATACTAGTTTTCCTCCTAAGAGCATCAACAAACCATAATACCCAAGAAGTCCTTTTCAGTAGTTTGTGCCAGCAACTAAACCTTTTAACATCAATTACCTATTTGGTAACAATTGTGGAGCTAATTATAGCATGAGCTTTTATATTCAACTTCAGTCTCTTTGTCTTTTGAGTCATATTCAAATCGCTGGGGTATTCTCCAGGTACAATAACCATTTTGTGCCCTGCCGCTATTTTTTTTAAGTTAGCAAATTTTTAGTAGCTAATCCTCTGGTTAAAAAGTCCACAGGATTATCTTTACTTAAACAGTGTCTCCATGCACTGAGATCTGTAGTTTCTTGAATTTCTAATACTCTAGTTGAAACAAGTTGCTTCCACTTAGATGCCATGCCTTTTGTCCAAAATTGTTGAATCACTCCACAGAATAATATTTTCTAGATTTTTAAAAAGGTATTTTTACAATATTTGGTTAATTTTGCTGCAGTTACTGCACCCATTAATTCTAGTCGGGGCAACGACTTATTTTTTAATTGGCACAACTCATAACTTGGAAATTATGAAGCTAGTTTTAAAAGTATGCTACCGCTCCAAAAGCTTTTAATGAAGCATTGGAGAATATATGAATCTGTAAATCTTCTTCTTTTAGATTTGTTCCAGAAAAGTAATGTTGAGGATTCTTCAATTTTTGAAGTTCTTCAATTTCTTCATTACACCATGTTTGCCATTTTTCTTTAATTTCTCTGGAAAACACCTTATCCCATTCCAACTGCTACAACTCTTGTAAAAAAGACTTCACTTGAACGAGAAATGGAGAGGATGGATCAAAGATTTTTGCAGCTGTTTGCAGTACGTTTTGTTTAGTACATTTTTTAACATTGTGGATAACAATGACCTTAGCCTAGACTTAATGTGTCTTCAGTATTATTCAACTGAGTCCTAATACTTTTAATGTGAATCAAAATTTTCATTTGATTTGATTAATGAATTAGAATTCTTCCATAAATCTTTCAGTTCTTTAGAATTAGTCTCAAATTTTCTCACATTCATGTTTGCATCCTTCAAAATCAAAAGAGCATCAGAAGGTAAGTGGTAAGCTTCCTGAACAGTGGAACCTTCATAAAAAAAGATAATTCACATAAATGGAACTATTCGATGTTTCATATGCGAGAGGGTATGCATTCTTGTAAGCATTAATATGTGTTTTAATTGTTGCAGCCAAAATGTAAGGAGAACAAATGACACCAAAACAATGACTATTAAAATGATGCATGATTATGGGTTGGGTTTTGTCACAGATTTTATAATACAGAAAACATAAATAATTTTGGTCATCTCTCGTGACTTGAATTTGAAGAAATAAATGCCCGTGCAATATCTCCACACAATCCAATTTCCTGTTCTCTAAATTTTCAAAATAATATCTAAAAGATTAGCATTTAAATTCTTTCTGGGAAGAAGACATTCATTAAGACTATTACAATTTGCTTGTTTACTACTAGCATCATAAACTACCATAGTTTTAGTACTAGAAGAATTTTCCCTCATAACTTCTCTATGAGGCATTACATATCCAGTGAAACAACTGTTGTTGCATATTTCAATTATATGATACTTGAAAATTTTCGCGATTACAATACTTCCTTTACTTTGTACATGGAAGTAAGAAACTACAGTAAGTGCCAAGCCTTAAAAAGCAGGGCATACATGCATAGGAAAGAAAGAAAATACCACCTATTTAAACATGCTTGTGTATCATGAAAAAGATTATAAAATGCTTACCAATAAAGGTTTATCTATAACTTCAAAACTAAGGTAATTGTTAACAACTCTGAAGTAATTGTTATTTTTGCTTGATGGATGCATGGCCTGTTTTTTTTTAAAGAAAATATTGTATTATGCATTATATGGTTTGAATAGTTTTTAAGTAAGCACTGATTTTAGTTTTATATGATTTATTATCATTTATTATTGGCATTACTGAAACAATTATAAACATCATAACAATCAACAGAATTATGTTATTCTTTGCATGGTGTAGGAATTTTCAATGTCGCTCTAATATTTTGCATTTTTAACTTGCTTGATACATTTACAAGTAATGCATGCTACTCATTTACTAGTTGCCATTCAAATGGTATGCTTTATTTCTGTGCTCATCTGCTCTCCCCCCCAAAAAAACTTAATAATATGTTTTCATTAAAGGCACAAATATTGTATGTAATCTTATCTTTTGTACTTTCTTTTCTCTACCACATTGTTTAAAAAATTCATTTATAAAATAAAAAATTAAATGACCTTTTTTTGGTGCTTAGGATCCTTTCGAAACTCCTGGTGAATCCATAATAAAAACTGGTGTTATGATGATTGGAGAAATTGAATTTGATGCAATATTCAATGATCCTGAAAATAAAGTTTACTTTAAGGGCCCAGCTTATGTCTTATTTGTATTCTTTCTTCTCTTAATGGCTGTCATTATTATGAACCTTCTTATTGGTTTAGCTGTTGATGACATAAAAGGAGTCCAAGAAAAAGCTGAACTAAAACGCTTAGCAATGAAGGTATGATATGTTATGAATGTTTAAATGCAATATTAAGCACAATTACAAATTTGCATAATTTGTTGGCTGAGGTTCTTTTAACAGTAAAACTAATGCAGTAATACACTGCCTGGCAGTGAAAATGCCACACCATGAAGAAATGGACTTATTGCTGTGTAAATTTCTGGCATGTTCTTCTACTTCATAAATTACTGCATTTGCAAGCCCATCAGAAAATCAGCACGCAGAATGTAAGTATCTAAGCAACACGAAAAGACATTAGTTTCAATGTTATCACAGCTATAATACGCTATTTTTTCTGCTGCTTTTGAGTTTGAATAATAAAGGTAAAGTATTATTTTTAAGATATGTTGTACTTGGTATGAATTATCCTGTATCATGGAGGAAAGGCAGGTTAATGGCCAGAACCCTTGGTTGAAATTGGCAATAATGGCTATAAGAAGGAAACGTAAGATGCCATGTTTGGTTCAGTAGGGGTTCAGTGCAAAAAGGTAAATATCATAACTCGCTGATCATAGCAGGCAGTGTCACATACTATCTAACCGACAGTTCACAAATGGAGTCATTTTATGAGGCGAAAAGTATCTCCACTGATCAAGTGTTAACATGGACAGTTTTGCAACAGATGGTTGATGCAGGTTTGATGTCTATCCAATCTTTATGATGGCTTCCATTTACAGCAAGCCATGCACATTTGCAACAAAGCAGAGTGTATGGAGTGCCGAATCAGACAATTAAGTCTTCAGCAATGAATCTCAATTTTGCCTTAAAAACAGCGATCAACATGTGAATGTACAGAGGACATGGCCACTAGGTAGATGCTTCATCTGCTATTTTCAAGTGTCAAGCAACCCATCAATATAAAATAATGGTTTAGGTTACAATTATTGCACAGCCATTCATCTCATTGCACGTGAATAGGATGCCAGTGTGTTGATGATGTGGTGCAGTCCCATTTTTTTTTTCTATATCTTCAGGGTAACTCAAAAGCCATTTGTCAACAAAATAACACATGTTCGCATACTGTTTGGTTCGTTCTGAATGCATTGCAAAGTATGAAGTGTTCTTTTTGGCAGTTTGATTATACAGTCTCTTACAAATCAAGCTTTTGTGGGACATGACTAGGCAACTATTGAATACCTCCTCTTCCTCACAAGGCAAAGATGAACTTGTGGGATCATTATTAACACCACATGGTGCATGATACCACATGACATATTTATAAAATACATTGGTTTCATGTAATGATGTGTTATACAGGGTGATTATAATTAAAGTTGCGATTTCAAAATGCTCTAACTTTAAAACTACAGCTCAGAATGGTTTGATATTTTACCAGAAAAATCCTGAGGTAATGGAATTTTGTTTAGCGAAGGAAAAAAATAGTTCCAAAGTTTGTAGATAGATGGCGCTGTTAGTGTTCACATTGCTGTTGTGGATGTATAGCCAAAAGGAAACTATAGACTCCAAGAATTTACGACAATTTTATTAGCGAAAAGACAAGGATACATATTTACAGAGAAAACAGCATTGTTAAAAGGGAAGCTTCGCGAAACAAACACTTTACGAATGACTAATGCGTTAATTATTTGATATGCTATCCTCCTTGTTCCGCTGCTAACTGGAATCGCAAAACTGCATGATCAACAACAGATCGGAGGGTATCTGTGCTGATGCTTAGAATGTGGTGCATGCTGCATGATCAACAACAGATCGGAGGGTATCTGTGCTGATGCTAAGAATGTGGTGCATGCTGCATGCCTTCAAGTCGGCTAAATTCACAATCCGCCCACTGTAAACAACATTTTTCAGATATCCCCAAAGCAAAAGTCACACAGGTTTAAGTCAGGAGAGCGTGGCTGCCATGCTGTTGGAAAATGACGGCTTATGATTCTATCATCTTTGAAATGAGCGATCAGCAGCAGCTTCACTCGAGTAGCAATGTTCGGAGGAGCGCTATCTTGCATAAATACAGTGCGATCCCATAGATTGACGTTGATGAAGTGCCGGAAAGACATGGTTATGCAAAAGTGCTTCTTATCGCTTTCCAGAAACTGCGCAGGTAACGGGACCTGCAGGTGTGATCTCCTCAAAGAAGACCCGACTAACGACAAATGCTATTGTCATTATTCTACACCACAGAGTGACCTTTTCAGAGTGAAGAGGTAAGGGCTGTAGCGGGAACGGATTCTAAATTATGTAATGCTAAATTATGTAATCTCAGTCGCCCATATGCTGCAATTTTGTGTATTTACAGAACCTTGCAAATGGAAATCAGCTTCGTCAGACCACAGAATGTTCCAAGGCCATTCATTATCCACTTCCGTTGGGGCAAGAAATTGTGCAAAAACGATAACACGTGTTCGCAGATTAGCAGAAAAAAATATATCTATCATTTTTTGCAGGCCAGGTTTTTGGCTGTGGTCATCATATGCTTTTTAATGACCGGAACTTCCTGATAGCTATTAAAGCACAGTCACCATTCTGATAAGAAAACTTCACGAGAAGAGTGTGATCCTTCTTCGTCAGAGTCATGATGAAGCACTCAGGCAAAATATTATGTGTGCCCTTAGTGCTCTGCATTTTTATCTTGGCCATGTCTGTAGTGCGTATGTTACGTCTTAGTAATTTGCATACCCTCAGCAACGTGAACCCTGACAGGCCATCTATCGGTATATTTTGAAATTATTATTTTTTCCTTCTCTAATCAGTCTGTGAGTCCATTGCCTCACGGATGGTCTAGTAAAATATGAAGTCATTCTGACAAGTAGTTTTAAAGTTAGAGCATTTTGAAATCGCAAATTTAATTATATATTCCTGGAAAGGAGTCACGTCATCTTATTGATGTTTTCTATATTTAATTATCTTATTGTGAAACATTTGCAAAAATTAAATCATTTTGTTAAGTGCTAAATTATGTATTTAGCTGCAAAGTTTGGTCTGTTTCCACGCAGTTTTTCATGGTGTGGCACTTTTACTATTATACACTATATGTAAAAAACTAGCTTCATTGCATGATCATATTCTTAAGTATTAATAATATGTTAGTAAAATGTATAAATTTGCTCCAATTACATCAGTTGATATTTATTCCAGAATGTAAAAAATTGTATTTTTGTGCTAAGGTTAAAGGAGAGGACTATATATATAAAATTTTCAAAATAGAGTAGTTATAAATTTTTCCCCAGAGTGATATATTTGTGTTATTAATTATTAATGATAATATAATTGTATAGGACTAGATAAGAATTTTTCTTAATGCGTATGTAATCAAAATATATTACTTATCTAGCCTTAAAAAGTAAATTTTTAGTTTTATTTCCCGTATCTCACTTGCATATTTTCCCTCATTTTTACTTCTCACCAACCTATATGCATAAGTAAGAAAGGTAATGTTTCCAGTCCAAAAATTCAGTAGTGAATTTTCAGTGAATAAGTATGAATTGGGATCCCCCAAAACATGTTATTTCTGTTTTTCCAATGAAGTCTGTCTGTATGTGTGACAATTTTTTCGTACACAATAACTTTAACATGAAACTTTTAAAAAATTATGTTTTCCATATGTAAGCTTTGTACATTCATATGAAGAGTTGATTTTAGGTAAAATTGTACAACTGGAAATGGTACTTTATATAAAACCCCTAAATAGTCTTTAATGGACACCTGGAAGTGATACATTACTTAAAGTCCATAACAGTTTTTAATGAAACACTATATTAAAATATAAGACAAAACTTTTCAATTGTAGTATTTAAGCTTTTTATATCTATGCAAACAATGTATTAGATTTTGACTAAAATAGATAAAATGGCTGAAATAATAAATACTAAAATAGATAATCATACTTCACTTGAAGCTCTTAACACACTTTTGTAAAAATACGTGTTATGAGATAATCCAAAACTTTGCAAATTTGGTACTAAAAATAAGTATGTCATTGAGAACAACATATTACATATATAAGCAGTTAGTGTATTCTTGAAATTATGCCAATTGCAGCAAAAATAAGCTCATTACAAAGATGAGCTCTTGTTATGAAGCAGTTAAATGTATTGGCCTCAATCCTCAATTTATGGCTGTTGCACTTTTGTGTGTTGAACCATTTTTCAAATAAAATGCTGCCACCAAATTTTATCACAGTGTATTTTTAAAGAAGTAATATAGCAAATTTCAGTAGTAAAGGCAAATACAAAATATATATCTGACAACAATTAACATTATAATGGGAATTCTAAAGATATCCTTGCGTGCATGCTGGTCTTTAATAGATTGAATGCACAAGTCTAATAAAATTTATTCTTATCATAAGAAATATAACAAAGCTGAAATCCTCCTCAGAGATATTCGTACAGTATCACAATATCTTGCAATATAATCAAGTAGCTATACTTTAATCTACTGAAATGTTAAATAGAACACAATCCACAGCATAGAGAAAGCTAATCTGATCAACAATATTTATGGCAGCTAAGTAAGCATCAATTCAGCTGAGATGTCTCTCTCCAGATTTGTTAAAGGTTTTTAATGTCACGAGAAAGTTCTGGTAATTTCTGCTTCTCGAGATTTCTGGAAAGATTATGGTTACAGCTAACAGTAGTCAATTACATTTATTCAATTTAAATATAAATTACGAAATATCTATTTATTAAATGTTAATGCGCGTGCTCCTGTATTTTTACTTTTCCGACATGGCTTTCTCTTAAAATATGTGTTGTGCTGCATTGCATGGGAATATAAAACAATTTTAATTAGAATTGTATTAAAAATAGCTAACTAAATATGAAATCCATAATACTGCCCCTCTTCCCAAGGACTGCACATCCCGGGCAGTACAATCCCTGGACAGGAAACCAATAAGGCTTCAATGCAATAATAAACATTACATTACAATAACAAACAACATAAACAAATAAATAATTTCAAACAAATCAAATACTAAATACAAATCAAATCAAATACAAATTTAGAAACAAAAAGGGCCGTGGTCTTATATTATTTAC